GGTTGAGAGGTACCGGCTAGATATAGTCGGGCTCACCTCCACGCACAGCTTGGGCTCTGGAACTTTACTCCTCGAGAGAGGCTGGACTCTCACTACTGTTGTTAAAAATAAAGTTTTACTTACCGGTATATTATTGTGATATGGCAACACAAACATTCTCAGTGGACGTAACCTCACAACACAGTTCACAAGGGAACCACACAAGCAGTTGGATGAATTTCAGTTTTCTAGTTTAACCTAGCTGTGTAAAACATTTATTTGCTAGGGAAAACTAAGATGAATGCACCCAAACTTGGCAGTGGTTTTAAGAAAGTCCTTTGACCCAGGCTATAATAAAGCATCACACCACCTTGTTATGTATTGTAGATCATCAGCAAAAGGCCTCTGATGCACTTAATGCCCTGACCCAGGTGTTGAGTGACTTACATAGGAGTGCCTGGCGAAGGCCTCAAACTCAGTGTTCATCTGGCCTGTTCCTCCCACAACAGCAGGAGCAGAGAAGAGCCCATAAACACTCTGGATGCGTTCACCGGCCGCCTCGACTTCCTTCATGAGTATCCAGGCCTCGCCTTTCTCCGCAAACTCCCTCACTCCATTGCTGGCAAAATCATTACGCTGCCACATGTGGTAGTCAGAGCTATGTGTCACCCCTAAGAACAGAGAGAGAGAGAGCAAGAAGAGGATCAGAGATGGATGTTGCAGCAGAGTCATTTTACTTTAATGACTTTTTCTTCTTTTAATAACGAGATTCAAAATCTGAGTAATGGATCTGCTAAAGAAATATTTCCACATTAGCTTTCTGTTACTCAATCAGAATACTGCTCTAATAATAATAATCTGTCAGAAAGCAGTTCCATACCTGCTTTTTCTACACTTACCAATAAGGTTTGACCACTGTGCAGGGGGACGGTAGACAGGATACTGCTTAGGGAAAGCTGCCTGGGTCCACTTGCCGGTGAACGTTAGTCTGTACTGGGCAGGTTCTGAGGCCATGCACATGGGAAGATCAGTAGGAACAGGCATTGAATGAATGCCTTGGCCCAGTGTCAGCATCATGACAGTGAGATGGTAGAGCACCTCAGACAAGGAGGTGGTGTTCCTTGGGGTGTCCATGATAATGAAGGCTGATTTGGGAGATGATGATGAACCTGAAGCAGTTAAATAGTTGGGAGAGAGAAGGAAAAAAAATAGGTGTTCAGTGCTGGAGAGTGTCTCACCAAACTCACAGATTGAAAGTCTTACAGTTGCAAATGTGTACTGGTGTAATCACCACAGACTCTGTTACACACCCTCTGCTCTGGTTGTTGCTCTGCACTAAAAGGCCAGGTTTCAGAGCACTTATACTCATTATGATTATAAATAGCTATATTATAAGGATTAAACTAATAATTTTATTCTTTCCGCATTTTTGCATGTTAATTGCCTTCATTACTACTTTTAAAAGCTTTGCAGCAGTCTGATTCATAGTCATTTTATTTTCTGTATTTATGAAGTCTGTTTTTGAAGTTGTCCTCTTTCTGTCAGAGCCGGAACATGACAAGACTGAAAAAAGCACAAAGCATCTGGCTGCAGCACTGGGTTTATACAAGTAGGTCATGTGAGGCATGGGGAGCATTTTTCATTTAAACCTTTCAACAGTTTTTTTCCCACTGTTTACACTCTGAAGCAACACAGGACTTACAGAAGGAGAGAGTCACCTACAATATGTACCTCAAATATCTTACTTGACAGAAGAAAGCTGTACTGGCTGACTTTCCTAACTTTGGATGCATCATTTTACCATCCTCCAGTGACAGAGCAGCAACTTGACACTCATCCTGCCACCCCCCGGAACTTATCAAATAACTTGTCAGTGGGGTGGGTCTTCACTTAGCGGTATGATTTTGTTGCCAATACTTGTTCCTGATTAATTACAGCGCTTGATGTTAAATATTTCCATGATCAACATGCATTCTTTTTATAGGAAGCACATTCTTATTTTTGTGACATACGGACAGCGTGCACATAAGACATTATAATATGGATTGCATAAACACCAGCATAAAGACCACTTATATCTAGTTATGCCTTTATGTGCAGACTTCATTACAAAAATTTGTTCTTAATCTGGTTGTTTTAATTTGTGATAAAATAACAGTGGCGCTAATGCAAAGTACATGTTAACTCAAAGAAGGGTAGGATGTTTAGCATTTGTTAGTAGGTGTTTGCATTGCACTGCAACACTAATTCTTAGCAAAACAATTCTTTGCTTCCATGTAAATAATCTCAGATCCACACTTCCTTGCCATGTGTTGCTGCTTTGATATGATTGTATACAATTCCACAGTAAAAGAAATAATTGTCAGTAGTTTTGCATGCAAGCTCGGTAACCATACATAATACAAATGTCTTCTAAATGTAAGGATCTCTGTACTGTCATGTAGCAAACTGGGTGATAATGATGTGATGCAGAAACTACTCACTGGTTTTATTCGGGGTTCCAGATGAATGAAGCTTTGCAGCAGATGACTGGAGAGGATGACTTGAGGTGAGGAGAAGGGGAAAGGAAATTGGTGGATGTGGCTGTCGGGAAGAGTGACTGCAAGGCTTGAAGTGCGTTTTCACCTATTTATGTATTTCAGGGGTTTCACCCCTTTCTCACCTCAGTGCACCCTTCATGGCCTTTGACTTTGGCTCTCCTTCCTCCACCCTCCTCTTCTCCCTCTCCTACTCTTTATAAGTATCCTGTTCACTGGTTAATGTGTTCAGCAGTTCTGGATGCACAGCCAGGGGTCCTGTGCAGCTCCATGGGTAGAGAGTCTTTTCACAGTGTGAAGCTGTAGGTCTCAATATTGAGTATATGACTAATGAGGTCCAAAGACATTCAGCTTAGGTTGATTGGTGTCTCTAAATTGCCCATAGGAGTGCATGTGCGTGTGTGTGGTTGTTTGTCTATGTGTTAGCCCTGCGATGGATTGGCGACCTGTCCAGGGTGTACCCTGCCTTCACCCGATTGCCGGCCGGGATTGGCTCCGGCCCAAAGTGAAAAATGTCTTGTTTTATCAGACGAAAAGTCAAAACCCCAAATATTTTCAAACTACTATTACATAATATTATATAGAATTGATTCTCAGTAGCACACATCACTAAGCAGTGCTTTTTGTCACCTTTGCAGTAGAAACTCAGGTTTAGGCTGGAAATGAACAGACGATGAAGTGTCTCAGCGTTTTACAATGTGTGAGGTGTGGCTACCACACTGACAGGAGGCCATGATAACAGCTATGTTTACTCCTGCATCCTGTGTTGTGTGTTTTTAGTCTTTCAGCCAGGTCATAGAGTGATTGTGTGTGTCCATGTATAAATTTTAAACTTTATTCTTACCATTTTTTTTTATTGTGAGGACATTTTGGCCGGTCCTCACAATCTCAAAGGGATGTTTGACAGTTAAGACTTAGTTTTGGGGTTAAAGTTAGAATTAGGTTTATGTTCGGGCAGGGGTTGGAGTTACATGTTTAGTTGTTATGGTTAAGGTTAGGGAATTGTGTCAGTGATTGTCCTCACAACTATAGAAAGACAAATTCGTGTTTGTGCATGCATGGAGGTCGGGGGTGTGGTGCTTCACTTGGCAACAGTCTACACATTTGCGTGCAAGTACACAAATATGCCAATGTGCTGAATCAGCCCACATCTAATGAGTTCCTTATGGTCACGTTTGTTAGACAGCTAAAACACCCACCCACACACACACACACACACACGCACTCTCAGACCAGCTGCCCTCACTCAACCTCTATGATTTTTCAGGATTTATTGTTTGGACTTTAAATCCAGTGAGCTTTCAGTCAGTGACATTTGAGGAAGGAAAGTTAACTCATCACCGCCCTCATAACTCTTGCACACTGAACAGTGCTGTACTGTGTTCAGTTTTATTTAAGATCGTAGAGCAAAATATGAGAAAGTAGAAGTGTGAGCAATGTGGCTAAAAGAAGTGGAATTCAGTTTGGTCCCTAAGACGCAGGATGCTGCTGGCTTAATTCATGACATCATAAAGTGTTTTAATAAGGTGATATATATACATATATTAGGGGTGTGTGATATTGACAAAATATTATATCTGGATATTTTTAATATATATTTTTTAATGATAAGCAGACGGTATTTTGCAGACTGTCTTAAAGTGTAGACTACTAGGTCATGCTTGTTAATAGCATATTAATTGTTGATTACTAATGATCTTAGTGGAAACAGCATTTCACTGTTTCCCATACATTGGTTTATTTGTGACACTGTATATAGCTGCAAGTCAGTATCAACTGTTCTGCAAATGGACAAAGTTAGGCCTATTAGAAAATATTTTCCAAGGCTCAAAGGACCCATCCTCTGCAGGTGCAGTATGGACCAAAGGTATTAGCAAAACTGAGTTAACATTAGAAACTTAAGGAAACACTAGGCAAACAGCCTGACCAGTGCAATTAGTGTTTTGAATATTTCCAGACTTCAACCAGTGCTGCTGAAGCAGCAAGAGCCCCCCCTGTGTTTACTGTATGTAAATATCAGATGAATTGCATTAGAGTTGTGTTCTCAGTCTCTTAGATGTTCAAAACCTGCATCATCAAGTTCAACACTTGCCATTTGCTGCACTCTTTAGCCTTTCTGTTGGCTTCACTCCAGGTTTTGAAACAGATTTAATGCACAAACTTTCATTTCTAAGAAATATTATCTAAAACAGGTTTATAAGCTGGAAACGGCTTTGCTGCCAAGTAACATCATTGAACTTTTTAACAGAAAGTCAGCAGCAGGGCCGGGTGAATGTGAAGATGCTGAAGGCCGCTGAGGGGCCGCTATATGTCACTCCAATGGGCCAGCTAGTCTGTAAACAAAATAACAGAGATTGTTGTTAGCTTCTAGGCCAGTGTTGCTATAGTGACAGGATGTGAGGTCATTGTTTTTACTTACTGGCTTTCAGAGTTTAAGGGCTGACCACAGGGAATGTGAAAATACTGATAAACAGACACATGAGCAAACACATGCAGGATCATTTGCATTAAGACACCACACACGCGCACACGCACACATATGCAGTTCTTCATCTGTACTCCTCACTGACACCTGGTCCTAACATCCAACCTGTTTCCTACTGTTCTCTCATATAACCTCCATTCAGCATATCCCTAGGGCCTTGTTACAGCTATAATCATCCCTGATTGGTGGCAGTCATTTCCTCTGCTGTGTGTGTGCAGATTTCCGGGTTATTTGTGTGTCCTCTAATGGATGCTGCAGAAACAAGAGACAGCAGCCCAGTGGTGATAATGTATATCCATGCAACTCATGGATTACTCAGGCCTGGCTGAAGCTTTACTCATATAACATTTCTGTGGTTGCTATTGTGCTTCTTTGTTCAGCGTTGAATGAATAATTTGTTTTCCCACTGTGAACATACTGTGACTGCAGATTTCATCCATCTAGATCCTACATTTGGCTTCTTAAAATGTTGTGTTGTATAAGATGTCAGTCTTATAAACTGTGACCTGCCTCAGCCCAGTGATGGCACAGTCCTGCTGTTTGACTCCACAGAAGCAGACTCCTGGTATTGTCGCTGACCAAAGTGACTTGTATCTGAGATTAACTGAACAGCTCTGGTCCAGGGTATTAGGTGACTGCAGAATATTAAAACACAATGCATATACATTTACTATTAGGAAATCACAGCTCCTGAGTCTGGATGATGTTGGTCAGCTTTAGTAGAGAGGCTTTAAACCAGATTTCACACAGGCAGCTCCAAAGGCCAGTGAAGGCTGATGTAGAGGAGAGAGGCGAACAGTGGTCAGCGAGCAACTATTTAGTTATGAGTGGTCATAAACTTTGTCTGATTTCTCTTTGGAGAGCAGGCTACTGTAGCATGGAGGCAAATAGTCTGCCTGTGCATTTTTCCTTATGATTTAAACTTTCTTGGAAAGTGTTTTTTTTTTCTTTTCAGAGCTTGAGCTGGGTCAGGAACTGTGCTAATGTGGGCCTGTAAAGCCCATTGAGACATTATAGTGTATCTTTGGATAGTACGCATGAATTTCAGCTGATTTACAGCAGGTATAATGTAAAATGTTGCCATGGAATCAATGAATAAGACTCTTATTTCTCTTGTAATTTGGCAAATTTGACCCAATAAAAGTACCTTTACTTTGCTGTTAGTTGTTCCCATTTGCAATGACCCTATGGGTGTACAGGCATCTATCACTGAATTACTTTGATACTGAATGCGTGAAATGTGAAAAGTGTCTTTCTTTCTCTGATTTCAATGTGGCTGGATGGTTGTTCACAGTGGACATTGGTATCTTCATAAAGTGTTGAATCTAAAAATATTTGTACTTTGTGAATTATCACTCCAAGATGGAGTGCGATTGTGTGTCACAGCCACTTCTGCTGGTTGTTTTAGCAGGCCTAATTAGCAGGGATATCTGACTTCTTATTCATTCAGAGCACCAGCACATGTCTGTGCCTTTCACCTAATGCAGTGTCGCTGCTTCACCTCTCCCCGACTGCACCCTGCTTCTTTCACCTGAAAATAGGTCAGTGGTTCACACTGATTGTTGCTTATGAAAATAGATTTTCTTGGAACAGTTGATGAAATAACTGAAACTATCTTTTTTTTATGTATTTATTACTTTTTATTTTGTTTTGTGCCCTTTTCACAGCATGGACTGGCCTTGCCAGTGGCTTAAATGTTTTTAATAGAGTGTGATTTTTTTTTTCTTTTTTTTTTGCCCTTGCTACAGTTTTGTCTTCATATTCTTCTATCTTTATTTCTCATTCTCTTTATATATATTTAAACATTTTACCCCCTTTTGTGGCTACCTTTCATCTCTCATCTTTTCCCCATTTTCCATTTTCTTCCTCTCCATCATGTTTTCCCCATCATGCTCTCCTCCCACCCTGCGGTGAGGCAGTGAACCCCCGGCCGGAGATATAAAGGACATGATATCCTGGGCCCCTTAAACATTAAATGAGAGATCCGTTTTCCAGCACAGTATTCCTCTGCACAAGTGCAGGCATCACTTTTTTCACTTGAAATATGGCCACATCACAGTGTGGTCCAATTATGTCAGGTAGCAAAAGTGCCAAAAAGTATTTTCACAGGTGAAGAAAACGGTGATAAAGCATGTTTTAGTTTTCTCCATGTTCTGATGACATGTCTGGATGGAGTGACAGGGAGACCCGAATGAGGGAGGACGTGGGAGCAACAGTTAGACATAAAGCACATTTTAATTCTGCGCTTTTAAAGAAAGAATGGGAAGTGGCATGTAAAGTCCTAATTAAATGAAGTTTGGCTTTTCATCTTGTTAACTGCTTGGTTGTTCATATGGTTGTTGAAATGTACAGTCTTCTGGATGTAGCTGTAGTAAGAGGTGAAAGATGGCCCTGCTGTGGACGCATGCTGTTGATTTGAATCAGCCACTACAAAACCTGGAAGATGTGTCTGTTTTGAACTGACATTATTGGCATTATCCATGTGAACAGTTTTGATAAACATTTAACTAAAGCAAGAGTAGCTGGCCTG